ACACCAAAAGGACCACGATTCACTAGGCATGGACTTCGAGACAAACAATTACCATGTTATATGGGCCATAGGCCGTTTTCCATATGGACAGCTAGACTGAAGACTAACAGCTTCTATGAATGAATTTATAGATGGACACCTTAACAAATGAGGTAACCCAAAACCGGACTTGATACCATGATAGAATTTAGGATGGGTAAGGGTCACACGATTGGGCCATAGGACACTTGGGTTGAACCATATAAAAAGATTTGAATTCAATCGATTACTTAGTTCAACTTAAGAGCTTATATAGATATTACTTTTCTCTTCAACTTTTGATAAAGGATACTTTAACATTAAATTTGCTGAAATTATTATATTATAAAATGGGAAATCTACCTAAATAATTTTAAAACATAACTACTTTCTCACGTAGTGCCATTTGTTTTAGTTTCCCTAATTAGCATTTAATTAATTGCTTGATGTAAATGTACCAAAAGTTCTTTTGATAGTTCTATAGTTACTCTAACCCTAATTCATAACCCCATCACACTCTATCGTCCACCGCTCATCACAGCCTGTCGACGTCACCCTCCATCACAACTTATCACCCATTGCTTATCACACCCTCGCTCCATTAATGTCCATCATGGTTTTAATGACCACCACGATTTCAATGTCCACTGAGATTTCAATGTCCATCGTCGCCTCTAAAAATGTCCATTGCAATGCCTCCGTTAATGTCCATCATCCTATTGTCAAGACATTTTTGTAATTTCAATGTCCATAGACTTACCTATCAATGTCCAATTCTGGATGGACAATGCTCACGGTGTTCAATGTTCTTGCACATGAAGAAAGAACAATGCCTCAATGTCCTTGCATCCACGAAGAAAAAAGAGAATTCCAAACTAGAGATCAGAAAGTGCGGTGACGACACACGCTAAATTTGTTGGAAGAAATCCAATAAAGAAAAGTGTGACAATGAGGTGGTGCGATGAGAAGTAAATCCGGTCCAATTATGACTCAGAGTGTTTGATCATGCTCTTTTTGGTACAAAGACCAGGGTGAAGAGAATAAAGTAAAAAAATGTGTTGATTACCATGTTGAGGGATGGAAATCGCATGCACACACAAGCCAAAATAATGGCAAAAACAAACAGTTCCAATTTTAGTAAAGTCGTCACTTTCCAATCTCAATGTTCCTTTAAAAGCCATTATGGTGTTAATGCTTTCTAAATTTGGTGTCTCCCCTTCACCATTCAAATAATTGAGTTAGGAGTAATGAGATCTCCTTCACCATCATCTAGATCCCCTGAATGAGGAACGAAGCCAATGACTGTGTCATATCCTCCGAATCTTGTGAGTATCAAGCGTAAACATTTTTGTCACTGACAACCATGGGTGGTCGATGACTGACAAAACCATCACACCATCTACGACAGAGAGGGGTGTTTGGTTGAATGTCTAGAAACTCACAATTAGGGATGAAAGAGATCAATTGATCACCTAAGAGGACATCGACATCCGTCTTCAGTGGTAGATTTGAGAGAGAGAGATCATGAATGAGCTAGTGAGAGCCATAAAGAGGGGAGCCGAGGCCTGGTGTAATAATGGAGGGGTTAGGCGTGGTATTTTGGACTTTTAGTCATCTTTTGTTTACCCGAAATGGAAAATAGGCAAATACTTTGGGACGGTCCAAAAAGGAGTACTCGACAAATACTATGGGACAATGGGAGTCATAATCAATTAATTAAGTCTTATTTTCGGAATAAAAGAAACTAGGTACTTTGTACCTAGTTTCTAGTAGGGCAAGGTCTACATACACACACCCTCCCCAGACCCTACTCTCGTGGGATCCAGCTGGGTGTTGTTGTTGTTGTAGGGAAAGAGACTATGTTTTGATACTATATGCAACACGTTGCACTTTAAAATATTTAAAATATATTTTCTTAATAACTAATGAAAATAATATGGAAGAGAAGACTTAGAAGCATCATTTTCTTTCATGGGAGAGTTATTCATGCATTGCTCTTTCATTAACAATCATTTCAGCCAATGTTGTCAATGTCAAATAAGGTACCATGTTAAAGTTGGGCTCATAAAGCTGAAAAGCAGGAGTAGGTGGTCACCATATTGGCGCAATATCTATTTGACTATATGATTTGAATCAATCCTATAACAGTTATAAAACATGGGTTCTACAAACCTAATCGCTTTAATGCTAGTCATCGCTTTAATGATAATCATCTCATTACAGTTGAATGATATGTTGATATTTTCTCCTCCCTGGCTATGTGTTATAAATGAAAATTTTGATGCAAAGGGTATCCATGATTTTAGGTCGAAGGAGAGGGATTGTCATAATTTCTAAGATTGTTCATCCATTACATAAAATTAACCCCTAATCCCATATCAATATTATGGGCATATTAGAATGTGGTACAATAAACCTACAAGAAATGGCCACACGACAAAGTATTTACATTACCATTCTTCAACATAACCCATGTGGCCTCTCAGTTGACTACTTAACTCTTAACAACTTTAGTTGCAAAACATTCATAATCTCCTATGTGGGAAATCATCAAAAAAAAATTAATTGGATCATGGTGGTTGCACATCACAATGACATGCTCCCTTCAATATCACGAGAAAACTCTAACCCAGCATATGCTTTGATTTAAGGGAGACATTAATTATCAACATAGGACATTTCAAGTTGGATTTGCGAAAGATCCAATATAATTAGCTTTTACTAGGTTGTATATTTTCCACTGCATTTAATGATTAGATTTGCAATTCGTATTCAGTCCATAAATGGAAGTAAGTAGATCTGGTCCAAATATGATTCAACAGCTGCAGATTTAACAGATTGAATGTGGATTAGATTCCAGGTTTGAAGGACTTGTTCTCTTCGAGTTGATAAAATGTGATCTGATCTATTAAGAGTTGGGTTGTTCTGATTTTGTCGAATTGTTTGGTGTGGTCGCCTGGTTGGAATGTTGTATGAAATAGAATCCTGTTCTACAGATTTGAAATGAATATTTCTATGACCTTGTCTGGTCTAATTCGAATGTTTTAGGTCTTGTTTGATCAAATTGAAAATAAGACTGCTTAGTAAGCAAAAAATAATAACCCTAACACCCAAATATTGAATATATATGACATATACTCCCTCCGTCCCAAAATTAACATCCCATGCGAAAATAACAGTGTGTATGAAGAGTTAAATAGTCTGGTCAGTGTTTGCACAGAGGAGAAAAAAGAATAGAAACCACATATATATGTAAAAGGAATGTAAAATTCATTTTGGGGCATCCAAAAAGGAAATTTAACTAGATGAATTTGGGTCGGGGTAGCAATATTCAAGTGAATTTCTTACCTTTATCCCCAAAAAAAGAACCATCTTTCTGCTACTGGTTCAGTATTATGAACATGATTCTTTTTTTGTGATTGGGGGAGTAAAATTTAAAATCAATCACATTATCAAAACAAGTCACTTATCTAATTCATCAAATGCCACATGTAGTGGTGACCTAGTGCTTTTTCCCGAACTGGATCCTCATAGTGCCATCAAATGCAACATGTAGATTTCTTATGATTCCTGCATCCTCTACACTTTGAATCTTTGTACTCGACCCCTTGATGATCATATCTTTTTAATGCACGCTTGTGCTTTAAAGCCTTGAAAATACATTCAGACATTCTTTGTAGATGCCCACAGGTTATTCCTGCAATTATTTTTGTTCCAAACTAACATTCCAGCAACAAAATTAGGGGGCCGAGTATAGGTCTCCACTCCCAAACATTCTAACAGGGTTGTATATAGAAACTACATTTTGGGTGGCATATGTGTACCTCGGTTCTCTCTAAGATCCTAATGATATAGACTATATAAAATAACCCCAACAAGTGTCCCAGAATACAGTTTTTCCCGATGACATAGGATGTGTAACCAGTACAATTTTCTCAATGAATATGTGGATATAAGAGATCTCATTGTCATTGATGTCATTTTTCAGAGGGTGCGTTTGGAGTTCACTTTTGGAAAAGTGTTTTTGACTTTTTGAGATATTTTTTAACTTGTTGAAAGTGCTTTTGAAATGAGATGGATGTGAAATTCTAACAGCTTTCAAATTTCAGGGGCTTTCCAACAATCCCTATAATTTTTCAAAAGGTTAATCTAAGTACGCACTAGGTCAAATCTAAGTACCCTTTCAAATTTCAATGTTTCCATTTGAGTTGCGGTTGGTCATGAAGACCAACTTGTAACTGCTTTTTTGAACACTCTAAAAATTATACCAAGTTCGGAACTTTTTTTCCATCTAAGGCACACCCTTCTTTAATGACATCTTGACATTCATTTCCACAAGTGCTGCTTATTATGGTTTCCTTGAATACAGAGTAAGATATTAGGATCATACGCAATAGATCATTAAAGATCATGCCTTCTTCTGACTAAAGATCATGATGTCCAGTTATGACATACTACGTATTTATTGGTATTTTCAGTATCACCATTAGTGATTTAGCTAACAATAACACTTTCATTATTTGGTTACAAAAATAAAGGATATAATTTAGTGTCATTCAGCTACCCTTCTTCTATGCCGTTGTTAGGGGTTGCTTGGTCTGGGGTGATAGAAGCCATAGAACCAAGTAATGGGTTTGATTAAGTTAATTTTCTTATTTTTATTAACTACTCTCCTGTAGTAATGGGTGTGATCCCATTACTATATACTCTTCGAGCATTCTCATTGCTATTGCTACTGGTGATTTTAAATATGACCTCCCCCCCCCCCCNTCTGCTTTTCCATGAAACACTTCTGAGGTAACAGGTCACCTATCTCTCACGCACGTGTATAATGTGAGATGTGAGTAGTTATTGGTAAGGTTGATGAAGTTTAAGAAAAGGGCGGTACATTGAATTAAGAAAAGCTTTTTACTTGATGAACATTGTTAACTTTTGAGATTTTTTTTATTATCAAGGAGTACTCATTTTAGTGAGACATGCAGGGTGTAAGCAAAGGGCTTGTTGCAAAACGGCTACTTTCGTTGATGGAAGAGAGAGGGATGGCCCCAGATTTTGTTCTCTGCATAGGGGATGACCGATCAGACGAAGACATGTTTGAGGTGATTATGAACTCCGTGGCCAGCCCATCCGTGGCACCCTCTGCTGAGGTCTTTGCTTGTACTGTCGGCAAAAAGCCAAGCAAGGCCAAATACTATGTTGACGACACTGCAGAGATCGTCAGGTTAATGCAGGGCTTGGCTTCTGTTGCCGAACAGAAACTGCAACAAACAGTCTTGCTTTGATCCTTGGCAGACGAAAAAACAAAGCTTCTGCTCTCTCATGGTTTCTCTTTGTGCTGTAAACTTCAACATTGCACAAAAATCTTGTAAAAAAAAGACAAGTGGCAGCTAGGAGTGTTACATGCCTGTTTGTGTTGACTTTTGAAGTCTGGTGTGGCTTGTATCTTAACATGTGTTTCGTTGCAGAGTGAGGGATTAATGTGTATTTCGTTTGGTGGTTTGTATTTCGATGCAATACTTTTTGTTTCTTGTATGCTAATTTAGAGGCATCAAAGGTACTTAGTCATACCATGAAGGTCTGGGAGGGTATCATCGAGTCTAGGTTGAGGAAAGGTACGTAGTCTCTGAATGAGTTGAAGTATGAAGTCGCTTTGAAGAAAGGTAAGACCAAAGGGAGTCGCGTTTTTATTTGCATTGATGATGGGTGTTATGATGCAACATATCTAGGGGGAGGTACCCTAGTACATGCTTTTTGCTAAAGATATTGTACTGATTGACGAGACTCGGGTTGGGATTCAATGGCAAACTAGAAGTATGTTGTGAGCCCTTGGAATTCAAAGGTTTCAAATTAAGTAGGAACAAGAAAGAGTGGAATGTTGCTTCAGTTGCAGGACAATCCAAAGTAGAGATTGACTCAAACCTAGTGCCGAAGGGAGGTATATTTAGGTACCTAGGTTCGATCACTCAGGCATTTAGGGAGATTGAATGAGAGGTGGTTCATTGTATTGGGGCCGGTTAGGCAAAGCGGAGGTTGCCTTTAGTTCTACTTTGCGACTAAAAGATTTTTGACAAACATGAAAGGGAATCACACACAATCATGTACTCAAATGATCATTCTCATTGCTCCTACATACCTTCTCATGCATTTCAGCTATACCAATATTTCTCTTTAGGGGATAAAACATAGAAGGTTTTAATGTCTTAATCCTATAGTTAGATTTCTTTAAAACTTATGAAGTAAAAACAAATACAAGACATAAGATATATCAAGTCAATTATTGATTGTGTGTATAAATTTGCAATTGTCAATCCTGGTGTTACCAGGGATGGGTTACTACCCTTTTGGTTAATTAATTATACTATGTATTAATTTAGAGAGTCATGCTAAAAAATCGCCACAAATAACAATTGTGTAAATTTGTAGATAGACAAATAGACTCTAAACAGATAGTATCCACGAAAGATATGCCATGTCCAAATTCAAATCCAATTAATTTCTGAGATATCCGAATCCATATCTGAATCTGTGTCTGACGGATACTTAAGTTTCTATATCCGAATTCGTAACCGACAGATAATTTTCAATTTTGGATATAGTCGGATCTGAATACATATCCAAAATCGATCGAATATCCGACACTATTATTAAAAAAATTAAATGATTTTAAAAGGAATGTGAAAGTGAATATTGAAATCCATAATGCCATATAACATCCAAATTCGTTAAAAAGCTATCGCTTAAATACTAAATACATAACTGAAAGGGAGAAAGACCAAAGTAGGACTAAAATATTGAAAATATACCAAAATAGGACTTTCATGTTTTTATTCCCGAAATAGGACTTACATTACCAAACATGGTCATATACATTACCAAGAAAGTATAGTAATTTGCACATGTACACTGTCACATTACCACAATGCAAAGTCACATTACCATAGTGCAAAGTCCTATTCCAGGAAAAAAACATGAAAGTCCTATGTTGGTACTTTTATCTATGTTTTAGTCCTATTTAGGATGGTTTCTTTAACTGAAACAAATGATTCGAACAAAAATATGTATATCCATAATCAACCAAATACTAATAGTCTTTAATGCATCCTAAAAAGTAAGATTAGTTGCCATTTCGCCTCCTTCCTATAATAATCCTATATATGGGCAAAGTATAGATGTATATTGCATGTTTGGTTTTTCTCATTTAGGATGGCTTTTGGCTGTTTTGACCAATTTTCACATATTTGATTGGTCAAAAAACCAAAAAGGGTGTTTAGTAATTGGCTACAAGGGTTAGCTATTTGAGTCCAAAAAGCCAAAATTTGAAAAGTAACGGGGACTAGCATTTCGGTTTGGCTGTTGGAAAATAGATTTTTTATGTGTTATTCTATGTGATTTTTATGAATAAATAAAAAATTAATTATTTATTGTGTAATTAAATAAAATATCGATAAATAAATAAATCAATTAATAACTAAATAAATAAGTAAATAATAATTAAATAAATAAATAGTAAATAAATAATAGCCCTTCCCCATGTACAATTCATGAAGCGGTTTGCGAGAAAAAAAATTCTGAATATTTTTTGAGGATTTGGTGTAGAAATAAACAAATTATATATTTAAGAACTACATCAAAAGTTTTTTGAAACTAAAAATGATACTCCGTATAATTATAATATTCTATCAATTGATCGATAAAAACACATAAATTAAATAAATAAAATCATAATGACTTTAGAAAAATATATAGCTTAAAATTTTATTTGAGGAAAGAAAGAATATATATTGCAAAGTATTTTATACCATATAATTATATAGGTGAACATTTCATTAAATTTAATTTATAAAAGCTATTTGAAGAAGCTAAGTTTGTCAAATATTTTTTATCAACAGTCAATATAATCGATTAGTCAAAGCAGTCAACTCAACCAGTCGTTCAAACTAACCAACATGAACATCTATCAGTCAACAGCTATATTCTAAAGAGGGCCTATGTGCATGTTTGGTTTTTGGCATTTAGGAAGGCTTTTGGCTGTTTTGACTGATTTTAGCAGATTTGACTGGTGAAACAGCTAAAAAGGGTGTTTGGTAGTTGACTGCAAGAGTTGGCTGTTTGAGTTTGAAAAGCCAAAATTTAAAAAGTTACGGGCAGTAGCATTTCGATTTGGCTTTTGGAAAATAGATTTTTTTATTTGTTATTGTATGTAATTTTTATGAATAAATAAAAAATTATTTATTTATTTTGTAATTAAATAAAAAATTGATAAATAAATGAATCAATTAATAACTAAATAAATGAATAAGTAAATAATATATAAATAAATAAATAGTCCTTCCCATGTAAAATTCATGAAGCGGTTTGCGAGAAAAAAATATTTTTTCTAAATATTTTTTGAGAATTTTGTGTAGAAATAAACAAATTACCGGAGTATATGTTTAAGAACTACATCAAAAAAAATTTGAAACAAAATATGATACTCCGTATAATTATAATATTCTATCAATTGATCGGTAAAAACACATAAATAAATAAAATTATAATTACTTTAAAACAATATATAGCTTAAAATTTTATTTGAGGAAAGAAAGAATATATATTGCAAAGCATTTTATACCATATAATTGTAATGGTAAAAATTTCATTAAATTTAATTTGATTTATTAAAACTATTTTGAAGAAGCTAAATTAGCCAAACAATTTTTTTATCAACACTCAATATAATCGATTAGTCAAAGTAGCCAACTCAACCAGTCGTTCAAACCAGTTAACACGAATAGCTATCAGCCAACAACCAACAACTAAATTTCAAACAAGGTCATAATGGACTAGGTAGAGAATTATATTTATTAAAACAATTTTAATTCGGTATTTGGATAAACAGATATTTAGATATACGATTATTTAAACGGATGTACATTCGGACTAGATTTTAAACGAATCAAATATTCAATCACAAAATTGATATCTGTTTAATAATCAGATTTCTTAATTGGATTATTCTAAATTTAAACAAATAAGAATGGGGAGGGTAATGTAATTTTCGATTATGTGGTTCGTGATTCAACCGTCAACGGTTTCTAAACATTTTGATTAATTGGGTAGACTAGCTTTACGTTGCGGCTGATACTTCTCCCAACACCACTCCGCCAAGTTTCGTATCTCCTTTCTTCGTCACTGTGCTTGTTGGATTCTTAGCTTTCCCAATTTTTCATCACGAAGAAACCTATCAGATTTGTAAAAATCGGCATGGATATCGAGGCGGCAGAGCTCCAGGACTGGGAGGTTCTTTTACCCAGCCCGATTTCAGTTGATTCGGGTTTGCCCGACTCCTCTGAGAACCCGAATGATTTTCCAGAAATCGGAGCCGATTCTCAAGGTATTGTACACACCAATTACTTCTCTTTGGATACTGGAGAGAGTTTCACGGGCACCGCTGCTGCGGATTTTGATGTGGGCGAGCTGGGTTCGGACAGTCCCAGCTGGATTGATCCCGACGGGTTGGAGGCCCGGTACCCGGCCAAAGAATCCGGCGAATCTTGGCCCGATTCAGGCAGTGACCTGTCGGATGATCGGGTTTTTGAGGGGAAAAGAGAATTGGGTATGCTCCAAAAGGACACAATTGAAGGGGGTTTTGAGGGGAAAGGAGAATTGGGCATTCTCCAAAAGGACACAATTGAATGGGGTTTTGAGGGCAAAGGAGAATTAGGCATTCTCCAAAAGGATACAACTGAAGGGGTTTTTGAGGGGGGAGGAGAATTGGGTATGCTCCAAAAAGACACAATTGAAGGGGTTTTTGATGGAATTGAGGAGATTGGGAGTGAGATTGAGCAGGTTGAAGGAGATGCAGATTCGAAAGATACATATGTTGCTGCAGAAGAAGAAGAAAAGCACAAGGCCGAATCAATCGTTGGATCTGAAAAGCAGGAAATTGCAGGGAAGAAATTCGATGAAACAGAGGACAAGAAGAATAAGAAGAAGACAATGAATGTGGTGTTGTGGAAGGCACCTTTGGAGCTCTTCAAGTACTATGTATTGAAGTCTCGCCATTTTGGGAGTCTATCTGTGGCAGCAGCTGCTGCCTTAGGATTTGCCATTCTGGGTCACAGATTGTACAAGATGATGATGATGAAAAAGAGATCGAAAGCGCTGGAGGATGGTAAGAAGAAGGTGGTATTGCAGTTCATTGGCCGGGGCCCGGCAAGTCTGTATGAAGCATTTTCCATGGCGAAGCAGGTGCCTGCAGCCATGATCCGACTGCAGCAGTTGCCAGGAGGTGCTGCAGTTATTCCATGGCCTGTTATAGCTTTGATATAGAGGAAGGATCTAAAATGTTTGCAGGAAACATGGTTTGTTTCTTTCACATTGTATGCTCATGTTTTTTGTGCTTTTTTTGTATAATATATACTCAGGATGTATGTGATTGTGTAACCCCTTATATTTCAAGAATTAGTATTTAAAGAATAAGTATAGTGCTTAAGAGTTGTCATTAGTTTCTGATCATATCATCATCCATCATATGGGCTGTGAATCAGGTCATATGGTAAATGTTGGTTGTTAATGCTCAAGATATATCTGTCAAATTACTCTGTTTCTTTTTCCTTCTTTGGGATTGGACAGTACAGACTATAAATGACTGATGTTCACTATTTCAAAAATCTTGCTATCATCAACAATGT